CAGAAGGAAAATGACAGTTGATGGAACTGTTGAAAAATACGAAGCAAGACTTTGTGTCAAAGGCTTTAGATAAAAAAAATCAATGTTTTGATCTTGTCAATATATATATACTCGTTAGTAATTAGAATTACATCCATTCGAATACAAAAGCTATTAGTGTGGTATATGACCTCCAAATTCATCAAATGAATGTGAAAAGATCTTTCTTAAATGTAGAATTGGACGAATAAATTTACATGGAAAAACTCGAGGGTTTTGTGATTCCTGGTAAATAAAAGAAAGTGTGTGAACTTGTTAAGTCACATTATGGAAGCACCCAAACAATGACATAATTTGATCAAACCATGTCGGCAAATGGATTGAAGAATGATGGAAGTGATAAATGTGTTCACATTAAAATCATAAGGTCATTGTTTATTTGTGTATTGGTGATATGTTGATCATCAATAGAGACACTAATGACATAAATGCTACTAAGCGTATGCTATAAAGCAAGTGGAATAAAAATTATTGGAGTTGTTAATGGGATCTTAGATATAAGAATTCGTAGAACTCGATAATGTTTAACATTTTCACGGTCTCATTGCATTGAAAAGGTACTTAACTAGTTCAAATATTTGGATGTCAATATTGTCAAGTCTCCAATAAATGTGAGCTTCGCATTTCAAAAGAGTGAAAGCAAAAGTAACTCACAACTGGATTGTGCTAGACTTTTGGGAAGCATGATCTACATCATATAATGTGTGTGATCAGATATAGCATTTGCTATAAACTGAGTCGGTTCACAAGTGATCCCAAATAAATTCATTAGATGACAATAAATAGAGTTTTGGAGTATTTAAATAATACTTAAAACTATGTCTTGCATTATAACAATATCCAACAATATTAAAAGATATAGTGATGCAAATTGAATCATCGGATGAATGAAGTAAAATTCACGAGTGGATATGTATTTACTATGGGTAGAGGAGCAGTTTCTTAGAAATATTTCAAAAGAGACATGTATCGCTAGCTCTACAATGATCTTTGAGCTAGGTGCTCTAGATAAGGTCGGTGAATAAGTTGAAAGACTCCAAATTTTTTGATAGATATTCTATTTTGGCTCAAACCATTGACATTAGTATGCATACACTTTCACAGTCAAGATGCAATAGGTAGGGCATAAAGCATGATGTATGACGGAAAGTCTCGTCATATACGACATAGACATGATACCGTTAGAAAACTACTCTCTAGTGAAATTATCAGAATTGACTATGTAAAGTCAAAGGATAATGTATCGGATCCACTTACAAAAAGGCCTAACTAGAGAGAAAGTTAAAAGATCATCTAAGGGAATAAATTTATGGCTTAGGACAAGTCATCATGTCAGTAACTCTATCTAGCAGACTGGAGATCCAAAGATCAAGATTCAAGGAAAAAAAACAAAGTTGTCAACAAACTCAATCTATTCTTATGATGAAGACAATGCTCAGGGACAAGGATACAACATTAACGCTTGTTAATGAGTTAATAAAGCTTAATGGTTTTAATGATTTGCTAAATTTGGCAGAGTTGATCAAATCATGTATCTACGCGATAACACGGTTAGGAATCACTTATGTGAGTGTGAACTGTAAGCCGCTTCAAAGAAGATGATTGTCAAAAGCCCATCTCTCTATACACTCATGAAACCAGGAGGTGTTCATGGCTAAAACGAGCACAACCGTAAGAACCATAAACTGTAAAGAGTTAATTGTGTAACATATGGTTGTCTAGGTATACACCAAAGTTTGACGGTTCAAAGATATCACATCTACCGATTGACCGAGTATATCCGACATATGTTCACTACAGAAAGCCCAAGGGGAAACCTACTTATCCAGATGCAATTAAGTCTTGCTTGTAAAGTACACATACTTGTTCCTTTCTTTGTCTTTGCGTCATTTCCCATTCATGCGGGGGATTGTTGGGTTTTAAAAAAGTGTGAATGGAAAATGAAGAGTTGTTATTTTTATGAAGAGTTGTAACTTTTATGAAATGTTGCGACTTTTATGAAAAGTTGCGACTTTTATGAAAAGTTGCGACTTTTATGAAAAGTTGCGACTTTTATGAAAAGTTGTGACTTTTATGAAAAGTTGTGACTTTTATGAAAGGTGATGACCTTTCTGAAAGATAGTGACTTTTCCAAAGTTCTGTGACCTTTCCGGTAAGGCACAATAAGAACATTTTCGCACTACCCTTTGTTTTCTATAAATTGAGGGATTTCCTCTCATTTTAATATAAAATTCATGGACTTCTTGTTTAACTAATAAATCTAGTATTCTAAGTGTACTTTACTGCCGTTGAGTGGTTCGCTGACACTGAGTTTTTGGTATCTGTACTCTGGTGATTGAGATCATATTATCCTGGGTGGTCATATTCCAAATCAAGCCTCGGATTCTAGAGGGGAATAATTTTCTTAAGGGGACACTGTGAGTTTAGTGGACTTGATCTTTTTCCTATTAAAATTTTTCCAGATTCTGGTACGTGTTTTACATATTTTAGATTGTGAATTAATTTCAGTTCTTCTATTCTTTTGTTCTTCACTAGTTCATTAAACTTGATAACTTCGTGTTTCTGCAAAGTTTGTTGGAATCAGTAAGATTCTTTAGACACATATTAACAACAATTCTTCTTTAAGAAAAATATTTCGTATATTTTTTTTAAATCTGTTTCTGATTCTAGTTTCGCTACTATTTTTAATTTTCTAGTTGTGAAAATGTTCTTAAACTTTGTTGTCTTACAAAGATGTTCAAAGTTTTGTTCTAAGTATGTTTGGAATACAAGATGAACACCTTGCAGATTAAGCTTTTATGTTTGTGTCAAGTATCCATGTTTGAAGAAGTTGATGATTTGAGATCATTTGATTACATCTGTAGCCCATTGATACAAATGGTACGCGCCTCAACGAGCTTCTCTTTTCTATCTTTATTCATATTTACTCTAGACTATACAAAACTACATGGACGTAAATAATGGTTGGTGTTGGTATTAATCTACAAAGCTTAGTCATCTATGAAGCGAGCACTTAAATATCGATGGAAAACAAAAAATACATTTTCTTTTTTCTCTACTTGCTGTCATATGAGAAATAAAGAGCAAAGATTAAGATATAGCAGGTTGAAAAACACACTTTCTATTGAGATAATTTTGTTGAGTCCTCACATATCTAATGTGGGAGTTTTTATGTTACAGTTATGTTTATGTTCTTATTGAACAATTGTATGTTTGTACCTTATGATTTCATTTTTTAGCATATTGTTGTGTACCAATTAGCTTTTTCTCTAATCTCTTATTTCTGGTATTCTATGCGGGTTCATGATTCACCAAACTCGTGTACTCACTGCTTCTCAAGCTTATTTTAGTGTTGTTCAAGTACCTTCAAAATTAATCTCTCTTTTCTCTTCACAATAACGTATATGTATATTGTTGTACCATATATATGGTTTTAGAATATTATTAGGCATAGCAACATTTTGTATAACTAGAATCCTTTCTTAAGAAGGTCTGATTTATAGATTTCAAGTGATTTACTGATGCATTTTGACATGCGCACATTTTGGTATTTCCAGGGAAGAAGTCAGGGTGGCAGTTCTTTTGTTTGACCAGCAACTTAGTTTTATTTTTTTGTTATGAGATCTTGAATATCCAATCTACTCCGAAAAACCTATATCAATCTCAATACAATTTTAAGCCAATATTTTGGAGCACTGGTCACAACCTTTCCTCTCTTTCGTCATTCTATGTAGCAACCAGTTCTTTTATATCCATTCATCTAAGTTATTGACTATGTACGGGGCTATTGGTGCGAGTTATTTGTTGTTTCAATTAATGCAAAGAGAATGTGATTATTTTGTTGAAATGTTTTAGTGAAGTTACTTTTGATGGTGTTTTTAGATTAATCCACTAATCAGGCAAAAGTGACATTAATTTGCATAGAGTTGAGTGATATCAAGTTCTCCAAGGACCTGCTTTACTAGGGGATGCAAGTTCATAAAGGAATTGAAGAGGATGAGGAAGATGACAATGGCAGCAGATATAGTGTTCAAGGATCTAGATGTGTTCTTGGAAAATAATCAATTATGTATTTGACTCTGTATCTATATGATTATATGCTCGGTAGAGCTTTGTAAATTCAATTGATAAAAGCATGAAATACCACCCAAACATGTTTCGTAAAAGCATGTTGCACGGGCTGTTATCCATCTAATATATATATATATATATATATATATATATATATATATATATAAAAGATCACAAAACATAATTTCAAGCGTGATTTATTTTATTTTATTTCTGCATAAAAGGGAATGATTTTATTTATATAAAATGATCATTAATTGTTACAAACGGTGGAGATGCATAAAAAATACAAGGTTGATTTCCATCAATCCATTGCTGGTATGTCAAAAACTCTATCAGCCTCCTGCAGAACATGTTTTTAGCAGCAAAAATACGTGTCTTAATTTTTATGATTGGAGAGTGAAAGAGTAACTAGGAGAAGATTCAACTATTGTTATTGTTTCGAGAGGTTTCCATGGTAGGATTTTGTTTTAATTCCATTTGAATAGTTTGGTTTAGTTTAGAAGTGGGTAGGAGTGTTTACTGGTGGGGGTATGGTTGTTCTAATATATATAATTTTTTTAAGATATAACTAATTTGATAAAAATGTACTCTATAAGAATTGAAGTACTTAATTTGACAGTCACACTACTCGAAAGAAGAAAGAGTAGAGTGAGTGTAAACTTTAGGTAAGAAAAAATCAAACATAGAGATAAAAATGTAATGGAGCCAGTGCATATGTATGCATGTATATGTATATTGTAATATTATTAAATAGTAAATAATACATCATTTTAAAGAGAAATTTTAAGGACCATTAATTCAAGTCCTAAATTTACGAGGAAAGAAAATTGAGAATCATTAGTATTTTCCTTGAGCAATTTAAATGCATAGTTAGTTTACTTGTTGTAGAGATGCACTACTCGTCTTGTACGCGCAAATAATTTTTTTTAAATCTAGTGCTCTGGCACTAGATATAAAAATACACCATTAAAACTCCTTGTCTTTCATTTCTAAACCTCCCTTCCTCAGAAAATCCGAAGCACCAATTTCAATATAAATATTAGGTCATGGATAATAACATGCAACAAGCTGCTGTGATGAATAATAACATTCAACAACCTCCTGTTAGTTTCCCACCCCCTCAAGGTAAATATTCAAATCTTCGATTCTCTTCTTTTTCGTCAACTCTCATTTGGTTTTGGTATTATCTAGATTCAATCAAATTTAGTTTGATGTTGTTGTGCATGTGATATGTATTAGGTTATCATCCACAAGCTTACCCAAATGGGATGTATCCTCCCCCACAAGTATATAGTCCCCAGGCCCAAGGGCATGGATACCCACAAGGGAATTACCCTCCACAAGGAGTAGGATATTACCCCCAACCCCAAGGTTATCCTCCGCCCATGGGAATGGGATATCCACCACAAGGTTACCCTCCACAATACGGTGCACCCCCACAAGGGCAAGGATATCCTCCTCAAAAACAAAAACAAAATCAAGCTGCTACTGGTGTCATGGGAGGATGGTATGTCTTATATTTACAATCACCTTATATCATTCACCGTTGTCCTCCTAGTTTGCAAGATTATTTGGTATATATATTTTTCATGAAAAAGAATCATTATTTATTTTTGGTATTATTTGATTGTTACTCACTCAAAATTCATTATTTAATTACTTGTTCTTATTTTTCATTCTAGTTTGGCTGCTTTGTGTTGCTGTTGTCTCTTAGATGCATGTCTTGAATGAAGGATCAATGATTTATTTTTTTTTAACCGCAAGTGATCTACAACAGAAGGTGGTGATTCCCAGCTATAGGGTTGAAAGTAAGGATCATCGAAGAATCTCGCTTTACTTTTCGTGAAGGTCATATCCTTGATATATGATTTGATGAACCAAGACCCCCTTCATGTGTGCTTAAAAATGCAATGCTTTCAATTAGATGCCTTGCCAACACTTAGGATATGTAAATTTTGAGAGATTATGTTAATGCAGATGATATAATTTTGTTAATCCTCATGATCGGATTACAATTCTACATTCGTGTAGGTATACTCTTCGTGTCTTAACAAGATGGAAATGTAAATCAGGGAGAAAACGTGGCACATTTTGGAATAAAAAATTGTGGCATATTCAATATAGTTTTGATATGTTGCTCTTTCTTTCCATCTAAAACGCCAATAGTTAGATATTATAGCTCAAAATAGAGCATCTTAGTTTTCCTTTTAATTTGTTTATTGGTATGGTGCCCATTTTCATATTAGTATGGTGTCCATTTCTGTAAGGTAATTGACTCATATGGGGATTATTTCTAGATATTTTGGGGAGGGTGTTGATTCTTGAGAATTCAATTTGACAGTTGTGAGATAAGAGAAGGAGAGTATGTAGAAGAAGAGGAAATGGTATGTCTTAACTAAAGTAGTTAGACAATTATAAAACGGCCTTTTTATTAATCAACAACCCCCCCCCTCAAGCTATGTGGTGCAAAAATATTAAGCAATCCTAGCTTGGAACATATGTATTCATCCTGAGCTTTGTATAATTCTTTAATCATCAACATGTTGATCTTTGGTGAAATGTATTTTGTCTTGATCATTCCTTCATATTTTTTTCTCCTTAGTCTATTTCTATATGTTTAGTTCTTTTATAAATTTGCAGATATTTGTATTGCTGAACTTGAATTGGTAGAGCTAGCTGAAGTCCACTATACTTGAATAGGCCGACTAATAAAGAACCATAAAAGAAACACTTATTTTGTAACACCTCAGATTTTTGAAAAGTCATAAAGAACCATAAAAGAAACACTTATTTTGTAACACCTCAGATTTTTGAAAAGGGAATAGGTTGCATTAATTTTGTCTACTGGTGTAGGCTTAAGAGATTAGTCTACGGTTCATAGAACTTTGTACGGGTCGTACATCAGTCTCGCAGAAAAGGAGAAAATAATTTATATAATTTTGCTATGGAGTATCAAATTGTATAACTCGCTGGCTCTTCTTCAGATTTTTACAGTTTTGCTAGCACACCATTTGTATAAATCACTATCAACCTCTCGTTTGTATAAATCACTGGTAGCCTCTCAAATCAATTTTATGTGCTTGTATGTATATCTACATAAAATTTGAATTTATATACAATTAAATCAAAACAAAATGTTTGTATATCAAATTTCTCTCGCGCGCGCGCTTTATATACAAAAAAAATTATATGTTACATTTTGTATAGTATGTGTTTGTATAAAGCGAAAAGAGAGAAAAGCAAAAGAGAACTGGGCAGGGAAATATTTGTATTGTATAATTAAAAGTGCATTCTTATTGCCTATTTAATGTATCTTTATACTCCCTCTATTCCTATTTAGTTGTCCACTTTAGAAGTGACACACAAATTAAGATAATAATAAGTAACATAGTAAAGCTACAATTTTACCTTTATTAATTATTGATATTCTACACGACCTAATAATTTAGTGATTTTAACTTTTCACCTTAGTGTGAAACAAGTTGTCTAACGTGTTCCAACAAAGCAGTAAAGACAGTAAGTAAAAACACAATATTTTTACGTGAAAACACCCGGCTCAAAGGTGTAAATAACACGACTTGTAACCTTACATAATTTAACTCCAACTTCACTAAATCAACTACAAGCCTCCACAAAGATAGATTACAAATTTTGCAACCTACCTTAATAAGTTATGGATTTAGACTACAACTCTTGTAATCCTAGGAACTAACTCTAATTCCTAACCTTCAACACAAACCTCCCAAGGTATGTGTTCCCAACTCTTCAAGTTATTACAACCTGAAGATAAAACTCCTAATTCAATTTATAACACACCGAAATAAGATTACATCAAGACTCATTCACAAAGAAAAAACTCCTAACACATAAACTATGTAAAAGGATCAGGTTCATCGATGTGTTCCTTCAGTTCGCTAGTAGGACTTGCGAAGTTAATTTCTCAATCGCTCTTTCGCTCTGTAAGTGCACACATATTCTGAACGACTTCGTTTCTATTTAAGCACATTTATCATAGAGTTATTGTTCACTTCAAACTCCTTATTGACTTGAACCCTCTTGACTTAGAGTTCTACTTCAAGTAAGACTCCTTCAATTCAAACTCCTACCTTCTTTGGACTTCTTCTTCAAATTACATTCATTGATTCTGTTGAATTGTACTCGAACTCCAACACTTCAATTCAACAGTAACTTTAAGAGTTCTACTTTAAGTGAGACTTCTCATCAACTAAAATTACTTGCCTCTTTAGACTCCTTCTTCAAATCAAACTAATTAATTCTTTCTCTTATGTTTATTTCCTTAGGGTTTCTCAAGAAATTAACAGTATTCATTGCTTTATTTATGCACTCTTGTCTTTATTTATTTTAGAAGCTTTCTCAAATTTAATAGCTCGTGACAGTGTACCTTTGGAACGTGTTGACTGAAATGTTTCTTCTTTCTTTGTCAATCATCAAAACTGTATAAATTCCAACAAATTCCCTCTTTTTGATAATGATAAACCTCTTTTCTTTGTGCATTCAAACAGTTTTATCTGTAGACATTGAAACATGAAATACTAACATGAAACAAGTTAGTCAATGGGTTATAAACACTGCACAACTCTTATCTTCCCCCTTTTGGCATCATTGAAAAGCTATGTCAATCCTATAATATAGGAGCTAGATTGATCGGTTAAACTATTCATGGCTAATGAATATCACCAAGACAATCAGATAACGACTTCATGCAACATAATAATGTATTATAGAGAGCAAAAACATGATCCATTAAAGCAATATATAATCAATCCATTAAACTATCAGATAATGTTTATTTAAGATCGAAGTCATACTGAATGAAGCAAAAACTATTGAGCACTAATTAAAAAAAACTTGACATGAGTAGAATAAAATCAGAGGCACTAACATTGAAAGTGAAAAAAAGAATGGAACAAGTGGAGATAGTAGTGTCAACAATCTTTATCAAGAACAATCTTTAGAGCTTAAAGTCATATCTGATTTTTTTCATAAGCAATGTGACCAACCTCCAGTTCAACAATCTTATCAGTAAAAATATTTCTTCTACCTTTTCATTGGAGTAGCAGTTTTCCTCTTTGACGCATATAGGTCAGCATGGTTCATCTGTTCAATAATTTTTTTATTCTTCTTTGGAAAAATCAAGCATGAATTGGAATTGAGTATTCCTCAAAACTTACAATGGAAATCATGCGATCCTTGTTTTTTTCATGCTAGCTATAAGATAATGGCATCTTGTTGACACTTTTGATTTCTAGATGAGAGTTCAAAGTGGAATAGAGAAAAAAATGTATTTTAGGAGTTGAATCTTCCTTATGAACTGAAAATGAGAAACTATCTGCTTTAAGCTTGCAAAAAAAATTTCAAGAAAACAAAGTGAGAGAGAACAATTTGAAAGAATGAAACTCTTGCGCTTGGACAGTTAATTTTTCTCTATATTAGAACAAATAATACATGGAATATGAGTGCTCAACTGTTTCACTTTATAAAATATTAACCTCAATCAATATATAACATATCTTATAAGAGCAATTTTGTGATCATCATTGCTTGTTTTTACCATTTCTCTACACAATATAATACAAAATTAGGTTAAGACAAGTAAAGGATCTGGAATTGGGACATACAACTGAATTTGTAAGACTTAATTGAATAACATTTTAGCTCATAAAGTTAGGAGAACAATTATTCTAACCAATAATTAAGGGGAGTTCATGCAATCTTAATCATCCCCAATTCTAACTTATTCTTTTCATAATGCTCCCTTCTTGGTGTCACAATTCATCCATTATCGTTTGAAAAAGAACAACATGATCCAACAATCACATACTTTTGTAGACTCAGTTTCAAGTTTCATTGTTCCCCCTATCAATATGCCCTTAGTTTGTTCAACAAATGAAACATGTGGTACAACTTGTTGCAATGCACTCTCATCAGTTTCACTTTAATCCTCACTTTTTTCCTTTTTTTAGCTTCCCCCTTACAAATGCATTACCTCCTTTTTTTTATAATTTTTTCCTTTTCTTTAAATGTCGCATTCCCCCTTTTGTGAAGTTAGCGCAAGTAACTTTTGTTTGTCTTCATTGATATCTCTTAAGCAAGCAATATTTATGAATTGCATCACTTTCTTCCTTTCTGCTTCACCTGCAAAATAGCTTAGAGGTTAGTCTTAGGAACCCAGACAAGCTTGTGTCCTTTCTTATGATCAAAAGGGTGAATCAAATTTCTTTTCACCCATCTAGGCAACCGGTTAGTGGACCTGTTTCTGCCAATATACATAAATTTGTTTCCATTTGAAAACTTAGTATTCCTTTTTCTAAAATCACTAGAAACTGGACGCTCCGTAGTTGGATGATCAATTTTTCCACAAATATAACATAAATCTTCAGAGATAATATTTTCTTTATAGAATCCTATGTCAGCCTTCTCATTGTGCACCCTATCTCTCAATTTGTTAACAATTCTAGATGAGTGAGTCCAACGGTTTGCATTCTCAAGCTTTACTTTTATTTTAGAGATTTCAGTGTTTAATTTTCTCATCTTTTCTTTTTTTTCAAAAAATAGCCATTTTTGCATTTTTCAACTCTTTTTCCAACTTTTCTTCAGTTTTACTCATTTTCCCTTTTCCTTTTTCAGTAATTGTGATCCTTAAAATTTCAAACTTTAGATCTAGGTTAGATGACTCAAGTTTTTCAACATGTTTCTTCAGACAATTATTTTATTTATCTAATAATGAAATTGAATAGATGTATCTAGGGAGAATTCGCTTTGAAGAAACTATTCCCTATAATTTTGTCATCTTTGAGATCCATGTACTCAAATTTTTGATCTACAAAGGCTTTAAACAAATGATCTCTTTCACATGTTAATTCTTCAAGGTCATCAATTAACCTATTCACTAATTCTTCAAGGTCATCAATTAACTTATTCATAATCTTATGCTTGAATAAAATCATTCATGCGTGCTTTCCACCAGCCAAAGTGAGACACATTGAACATTGGGGGTCTGACAGTTAATTGTCGTTAGCTGTGACCAATAGGTGGTGCAGAAGGCATCTTGATCTTTTATCTTAGGTGTTAACCTGTTAAAGACAACTTGCTCTGACACCAATTGATATTCTACACAATCTAATAATTTACTGATTTAACTTTTCACCTAAGTGTGAAACAGGTTTCCATAACAAAGCAGTAAAGGCAGTAAGTAAAAGCACAATATTTTTACGTGGAAACACCCGGCTCAAAAAGGTGTAAAAACCACGACCTATACCCTTACAAAATTTAACTCCAACTTCACTAAATCAACTACAAGCATCCACAAAAGATAAATTACAAACTTTGCAACCTACCTTAACTTCAAGTTATGAATTTGGACTACAACTCTTGTAATCCTAGGAACTAACTCTAATTTCTAACCTTCAACACAAACCTCCCAAGGCATGTGTTCACAACTCTTCAAGTTATTACAGACAACACTCCTAATTCAGTTTATAACTCACCGAAATAAGATTACATCAAAACTCCTAATACATAAACTCTGTAAAAAAGGATCAGGTTCCTCGATGTGTTCTTTCAGTTCGTTGGTGACACTTGCGAAGTGAATTTCTCAATCGCTCTTTTGCTCTGTAAGTGCACACATATTCTGAACGACTTCGTTTCTATTTAAGCACATTTATCATAGAGTTATTGATCACTTCAAACTCCTTATTGACTTGAACTCTCTTAACTTAGAGTTCTACTTCAAGTAAGACTCCTTCTTCAATTCAAACTCCTACCTTTTTTGGACTTCTTCGTCAAATTACATTCATTGATTCTGTTGTATTGTAGTGGAACTCCAACACTTGAATTCAACAGTAACTTTAAGAGTTCTACTTTAAGTGAGACTCCTTTTTCAATTAAAACTACTTGTCTCTTTAGACTCTTTCTTCAAATCAAACTCATTGATTCTTTCTCTTAATTCATCAGATGTTTATTTCCTTGGGGTTTCTCACGAAATTAACATTATCCATTCCTTTATTTATGTACTCTTGTCTTTATTCATTTTAGAAGCTTTCTCGAATTCAATAGCTCGTGACAGTGTACCTTTGGACCGTGTTCACTGACATGTTTCTTCTTTTTTTGTCAATCATCAAAACTGTATAAATCCCAACAATTATTGTTTCATTAAGGATGAATTTAGACTTTTGAAATTTTCAAGAAGTTTTAATGAGGATATAATAATAAAAAAATTGTCATTTTTTAAATTGTCAAAATGAATAGGAGGAAATATATAGACAAGTAAATAGGAATATGAATTTTCAGTATAAAATTCTCTTAAAATTCTGTTTTTTTTTTACCCCTTTTTATAGTTAATTGAGTCACTGCTTTAATTCATTTTTCATGCAAAAATCCTTTTCACCCAATTCTATATCTTATTCATTTAATTCCAAAAGTTTATGCATTAAAGGCAACGGAGGTGTGCCATGCATAAAATAGTATTGCATTAATATGGAGGAATTTCATCTTCTAATTGTTATAATTGTGTGAATTTTCCAATTAATGTGACATCCATCTATAACGGAGTAAACAACATAAATTTCATAGTTTTAATATAAAATTGTAATATATTCCTAAGAAATTTTTAATTATATTAATTTTTAAAATTAAAAAAATCAGATATAATAATTGAAGTTCGAATACATTAATATATAGTTCAGATTCATTAAATATTGTCTCGGATACATTAATATACAACTTCGATACATTAAAAACTAGCTCAGATACATTAAATATTGACTCAGATATATTAATATGTAGCTCGAATACATAATAAGTAGTTGTGATACATTAAATACTGATTCAAATAATTAATATGCAACTCAAATACATTAAAAAAATAAAAATTTTGAAGATTTTTAAAAATAATGGGAGATAATGAAAATAAATGAAATAAAGGTGTCTATTTCTGTAATTTATACTAAATAATAAGCATTTCACCATTTTGTCTTTTAAATTTCCTCCAAACATAATATTGATCAGAATCTGAAATGTGCGTTGAATGTTTATTTTTAAAATATGCTATAAATTTTGTATTGTAAAGGGTAGCTTTTAAATCACATATATACTATGGACTTTTTGTGTTATAAAATAAAAATAAAACATACCCCAAAAAAATAACAATTCACAAGTCGAGGTTAGAAAACCTTGCAAAATTGATGCTACTAATTTGACATATACAGTACTTTAACTAATTTGAAGATACATATCCTTGCAAAGTAGATACATATCCGAACATATAATTTTATTGAGTCCTACCATGATTAATCCAAAAAGTTTTCAGAAATTATTAAAAAAGCGAAAAGATTTAAATATGCTATTAAATTTTTATAAAAAGCTTTATTTATGTTATCACTTAAAAATTTGATTTATTTATGCAATTTCTATTAAAGAAAAGACTTATTCATGCCACGTGACCACTTATAATTCGAGCACGACATTAATTTTTTAAATCAAAAAAGGAAAAAATTAGTTCAATTTTTATTCAAAATTTTGATTTTTTTTATTTAAAAAATTTGATGACGTGACCAATTATAATTCGGCCATGTCATCAACTTTTTAAATAAAAAATTAAAAAAATAATAATTCGGAATTATGATTTTTTTATTTAAAAAATTGATAACGTGGCCGAGTTATAATTGGTCATGTCATCAAATTTTTTAAATAAAAAAATCAAAATTTTGAATAAAAATTGAACTAATTTTTTTTATTTAAAAAATTGATGATGTGGCCGAATTACAATTGACCACGTGTCAAAAATGGTTTTACAAAACTATTGTTAAAAAATAATGGCATGAATGAGGTTTTTCTTGAACGATAATGGCATAGATTAACCAAACTTTTAACGGATGACATAAACGAGCCTATTCTAAAAGTTTGATGGTATATTTAAGCCTTTTCCCAAAAAAAAAAAAAGGAAAAAAAAGAGAGATGATCATAAGTTGCATATAACATAAAAAAAGAAAAATATAATATTACCTATAAAAAAGATATTAATATAGCACTCAAAATCTATACATATTAAAGAATAAGCTACCAATTGTTATATGCATCGAATACCTGAAATTGATGAATCTTCTTCCACTCCCCAACCTCTAAGGAGTCGTAGAGCAATGTCTTTATTGGCAGTTGCGCAATCTTCGATTAAAGTTACTTATGCGGATTGCGACAGCACCCGGCCTTGGATCATGGCTCTCACTTGCTCAAGACGTCGATGCGTCACCGGGTTGACCCCTTTTTTACCAGCATGGGAAGTGACGATGGATGTCAAGATGAAGACTCCTCAGCGCCAATTAGGAGGTAAATATATATAGATAAAATTTATCCGTGTTAGATATTTATATCAAATCAATGTAATTTTCATTATCCGAATTTTTTTGTCAACTTGAATTAACTATAAATTATTGATTATCTTTTGGAATTCTGAACAAATAAAAATAACCACTTTTAGTGTTTCTTTAGTTCTTTGAATAATTAATCAGCGAAATATTAGTACAAAAACATTAGCACGAATACTTTTTTACCCCACTTAGATATTGCTCTTTTCACCATCAAGAAATATTAGACATCAAATGTTAAAATTTGGACTATTTCAAGTAAAACTCAAGTTAATGATTCATACTAGATCCTTTTTTTGTTAAACTTGCACGCTTTTTCTTTTTGTTTCAATTAAATTATTTATAATTTTATTGAAATTTCCAATATATTTGTCGAATATCAGTATAGCGTGGTGCTTAAGTAAACAAAAAATTGTTGAAATAATAATATACATTTTTATGAATATTCACAGAAAGTAACAAATAAATAAATAAAATGGTAAATTTGCACCTTTTTCTTTGTCGTTTGTTTTGATGGTGCTGCATATTGTTAATTTATAAATTATTTACATGAGATCTAATATTTATTGTATAATTCTGCATTCTTAATTTATAAATTTATTTACATGAGATCTAATATTTATTGTATAATTCATCCGAAGGCTTCTTTGTGATTCTTTTTACAATTAAAATAATATTTAATATAGATTTTAAAAAAAAAAATATTCAATATAGATCAAGCACAACAGTTGTACTTCCATAATTTAATACTAATAAAAGTAATTTAATGAAAATATTAAACGTGACCAAGAATAATTAAGAAAAAGGCAATTAATTAAGTTGTCCAGTGATGGAAAGTAATTTTGCTTTTAGATAAGATGTAATTTAGATATTTACATGACTTCCAATCCTATAAAAATTTTAAAATATTACTAGCTCGTCACAACAAATCTTATGTTATAACATTAAAAATCAGCAGGAAAAATAGAAATATATAAGTAACATAACTAAATTAATTATAAGCCAAATTAAAAAAATTGCATAAATCATAAGCATGTTTTTTAATCATTTTAGGAGAATAAGAAGAAGATAAACGTTAAAGACAACTAACTATACCTTTAATTTTGTAATTAAAATTCTTATTAAAAGTATGAATTCGACTTCTTCATCTAAGGAGAAATTCAATTATTAATATATAAAAAGTAATCATACTTCTTGTTTAAAATAAAGTAATGAAGCAAAAAAGAAATATTAATCAAAATCAAAACAACACATCAATAAATTTACTATTTTTAGGAGAAATAATACATAAATAAATGAATTATCGAAAAAATAAAAAATGAAAATAGCAGAACTACATTCAAAATAAAATTTTGTAGATAAAAAAGAAAACTATACATATGAAGTATTTTTTTTTAAAGAACTAACCTCACATCGAATTAAAGGAATGATAAAGTCATCATATGAAACCTTCAAAAATAATTCCAAAGTTAGAGATTGTTACTAATTATCATCATGGGTTAAAGCGAGAATCATTTCTGTTAATTACTAATAAAGAGCCAAAAAATAAAATTATGTACCACTAACGACTGTCGAAAAGTAGCAGCAAAAATTAATGATTTTTTAAAGAAAAAAATAATAAACCAATGAATCATGAAATGCTCTAAAGTTGTGCATACTATAAAGTGATACAAAGAATAACAAAAAGTCATACATAAATGCCTATTAAGG